CCTTGGGAGAGGACTGTCCAAGTAAGTTGTCGTGACTGGAGGGTTTCAAGGTGAGTCCATGTGAAAGCAAAGAGATTTTGGGAGTTTGGGTGAAGAGGAATGGTTTAAAAAGGCATCTTTTAGGTCTATTACATTGTAATGGGTTGTGTCTGGAGGGATGAGGGAAAGGAGCTTATAGTGGTTGGGAACTACCAGATTAATGGGAGGGACCGCCTGATTGATAGCCCAGAGATATGGAGAATGAGTTGGCCTAAGGTGGCCTTGTGAGAGGAGTCTGTTTATGACCTAAAAGGCCATAAGCCTTTTAGATAGGTTAATGAAATGGGATACTGAGAAACAGGAAATTTGGAGGAGTCTTTTAGCTCGATTTTGATGGAATCATGGTGAACTGCTAGAGAGGAGGTAATGGTATCCTACACTATTGGATTAATGAGAAGAGGGGAGTGGATATTGTGGGGGAGGGGTGGCGGGCTGGAGGGGTAGAAGACTGGCATGGTAGTGGAGAAGAGTAGGAGAGAATCCGGTTGTAGGGAATAGAAGAAGGTGATGGAAGCTTTGAATTTGGTTAGGAGGTCTCTGCCTAGGATGCAGGTAGGATAACGAGGCATGATAAAGAGTGTGAGAAAACAGTATCAAATAGGAAACAAGTAAAAGGTCTAGTGGTGCAGGGGCACGAGATGAGTCAGTCAACTCCCACAGCTGAGACCTGAGGGGGATGAGTGGATCCTGAGAATTCAGGCAAAGCCGAGTAGGTGGCCACCGTATTGATTAAAAAAGAGATTAGCTTACCTGCTACTAGTAGAGTTATCCCTGGGCTTTGATGCAGTGATGGCAGATGGGGCCGGGGGCCCTGGGCCTCGTCAGTCTTCAGCAGCTAGGCCAAGGAGCCGTGGGAGTGCAAGTGATTCTTCACCATTTTTCTTGCTGAAGGGGTGGTGACTCTGAGGTGCAGACTGGGCAAGAGCTTTTTGGCACTCAGGGGTTAGGACATGCCCACACCCAGTGGCTTTCTTTGCCTCATTTAAAACAAGGCCTGGGTACTATGGCTAGGCTGATGGATAGCAGCAGCTAGAAGCTGGTATTTAACATGATCTCTTTGGGCTTTATCTAATTTAGTTAGCTCATCCCTGTTATTGAAGACTTTGAAATCCAAGTTAAAGAGGTCTTGTGGAGTTTTGAGGGCCATCTTAAGCCTTTTTAAGTTTGTGCCCGATATTGGGGGCAGACTGGGAGATAAAATGGGTATTAAGAAAAATAGTTCCTTCTTGGAAGGCAGGTCAATGTGAGTATATTTTTTGGAGAGCCTTTATAAGGCGGTAAAGGAATTAGGGAGGATTTTCATCTGCTTTTTGGGAAATTTGAGTTTTTAAAAATTCACTGCCTTATGGGCAGATTTGTTAAGGCCTACAATAAGGCAAGTAATTATGTGGTTATGTGACACCCGGCCGGGGTCTGTGGGTTGGCACTCCCAGGAAGGCTCTTCCTGGGGGACAACAGCATCTCCTACAGGCTTAGTAGGATCTTGCTGATGAAGATCGTTGGTATGTGCCTGGGCTGTGAGCCACACTCTTTCCTTCTCTTCTAGAAGGAGGGTAGAAGAGAGGATAATATAGAGATCATGCCAAGTGAGTTCATAAGACTCTGTTAGGTATTTAAATTTTTTGATATAAGTATTGGGATTGGAGGAGAAGGACCCGAGATTGACCCAAAATTGAACTTTTCAATTTTGGAGAGATTGGAGAGGGAGAAGGGGATGTGGACACAGACAATCCCTTCAGCCCTTGATACCTCCCAGAGGGGAAGCAAGGGAGCTGGTTGATGGGCATATTGGGCTCAAGAGCGGGTAAGGGGTGGGGACAGGGAGGACTCAAAGTCAGAAGCGGGGTGGTTGGAGAGAGAAGGGGAGAGGGGTAGGGCCATAGCGGGAGCGTACGGTGGAGGATCATGATGCTTTGGTGGGGGATTATGATGCAATCTAGGAGGAGGAAAATCAGCAGACCCAAGGAAGAGGAGTCATCAGCTGGGGCTGTGGGGAGAGTGGCAGGAGATGAGTTGTTGGCTAGGGCTGTGGGGAGGGTGACAGGGGCAAGTTGGGTTTGGAACATGTGAGGATTTGGAAAGTAGTACAGGACTGGCAGAGGGAAGGACTGCTACAGACAGTGAAGAAAGCCTGAACATAAGGAATCTCACACTATTTCCCATTGCCATGGCAAAAGTTGTCTAGGTCTGTAAGTATATTGAAATTAAAAGTGCCATATTTGGGCCATTGGGAGCCATTGTCTAATCTATATTGAGGCCAAGTGATATTGCAGTAAAAGATAAGCCTCTTAGGATGGACCTCTGAACAGAGGCTGAGAGCATTGAGATTATGCAGGAGACACCCAAGGCGGGTAGTTTTGGGAGGGGTGGACTGAGAGGCTTCCATAGGAAATGGGGGAGGGAGATAGAGGAAGAAGAGACTACTGATGACAAAGCGGGAGAGGGTTTCCCCTAACCTTGAGGCCTTGTGTGGAATAGAAGAGGTAGCTGCCAAGTCAGGAATCCCTGAAACAGAGGAACCGGAGGCCTGGAGGCCAGAGGAAGCCCTTGACCCCAGCACTGCATTTGGGGAAGGCAGAGACGGTCAAGGGTTCTGGGTTATCTGCAGGAGTCTCTCTTACTTACCTCAGTGGAGGCTCTGATGGCAGATGGGGTTGCCAGCAATGGGAGAGTCTGGGAGATCCTCTGGGTCTTCTGCAGGTTCCGGAAGGGGAGGGTGGCCAGGAGTGGGGTGAGGAGTGGGGAGAGGGAGGGAGGGAGGGATAGAAGCAGAGAGAGACGAGAGAGCGAGCCAGCACGAGTGCGAGAGTGCGCCAAAGCCTACCCCTTCCCAGATTTCGGCACCAAAAATGTAGATTTCGGAACCCAAATGTAAGGTTAGCCGCGAGAAAGGAGAGTAGACCCAATGTCAAGCAAGCAAGTTTTATTAATCTGCTGGGCTGCTCCATGACAATTAGAGGAGGCAGCCCTAAGCCTACAAAACAAGGCTTTTTTGGGGTTTATATGGGGTGAGAGGGGCATAAGGGAGTTTCAGGATTGAGATAATCTATCAGCTTGTAACAAGCACAAAGATAGTTTGTCAGCTTGTGACAGACTTACAATACATCATCCTGTGACTTGTGGTAGCAGTTTTAAAGAAACAGGATTTTACTGGTATGCATAAATTAGAATTTAAAGAAAGATTTGTTTTCTGTGACCTCCCCTGTGCTGCCCAGATGGCTGTAATCAGGCTTTGCTCAATTGTAGTGTGTCTGGCGGCCTTGCTGTGGTGCCTAGATAGGAATGCAGCTGCAGAGCAATCAGAGTGGGGCGTCAGCTGCCCCTAACAAAAATCAGGGGCAGTAATGTGGTGTTTGGCAGGAGCTGGATACGAAGTTTCTGTTGGGGCAAACAAGAAAGTTCTGGAGATGGATGGTGGTGATGGTTGCACAATAGTGTGGATGTATTTTACACCACTGAACTATATACTTAAAATAGTTAAAATTGTAGGTTTTTTTACATATGTTTTATCACATTTTTAAAAGTTGGTTGAATGAATATATTTTCCCAATACTTTTTTCTACCTAAACTGCTGTGAAACCTTTATATATGGCATATTTGGCTTTCATTTAAATTAAAAATACAAATGCAAATATGCACTCTAAATTTATATGGCCAATTATAAGGTGTAAGGCTGGTTGCCTCCCAGGGAGGTTGGACACACCCACCTCTGCACCCAGCACCAGGCTCTGCACCTGGCACCTAGCTCTGCCGCATGGCTCCCCTGGAAGGCTCCAGCCGATGCAAGGCTCCTGGCTGGCTCTCCCACCGGAAAACCCGCCCAACAACCTGCCAACCAATAGCGGCCCGCCCCGTCTCAATCCCGCTCCCCTGGAGTCAATCAGAGCACCCAGCTGTTGCTCGTTCCTCCTAGCCATAAAAGCCCCACGCCCCAGGAAGTTGGCGCGACTTCCCTGGCCCCTTTCCCCGGGACCATGGAAACTCGCCCGGGAGCTGAATAAATTGGATTTTCGTTTTCTTATACTGGCCTCAGTTTCCTCATTTTAAACTCGGCAATAAACCTTACATAAGGTACTTTTACAGATAATAATATGCTTAATTTTAGACTTTTAATGGAATGAAAACAATTAAAACTTTTATAGAGAATTTGTAAATCCTAAGAATATGTCAGATAAACCCATGGAACCTGCAGACCCATTTAAGCAATATTGCTGAAGAGACTTTGTTGCAACCAGGTTAAAACCCCCATAGCATTATAGACCATCACTGGAAGTTTGCATAAGAAGCAGGTAACAGTGGCTGGTTCTGGGAGGTTGACTTATTTTTAATGTACACCATTTTTTTTTTTTGAATTTGTATTGAAGAAATATTTCCCCATGTTCATCACAAAGATTACTGTTTCTTTTTTTCTTTCTTTTTTTTTTTTTTTGTGAGACGGAGTTTCGCTCTTGTTACCCAGGCTGGAGTGCAATGGCGTGATCTCAGCACACCCCAACCTCCGCCTCCTGGGTTCAGGCAATTCTCCTGCCTCAACCTCCTGAGTAGCTGGGACTACAGGCACGCGCCACCATGCCCAGCTAATGTTTTGTATTTTTAGTAGAGACGGGGTTTCACCATGTTGACCAGTATGGTCTCGATCTCTTGACCTCGTGATCCACCCGCCTTGGCCTCCCAAAGTGCTGGGATTACAGGCTTGAGCCACCACGCCCGGCCAACCATTTTGTATTGTTTAAATTATTTAGCATGTGTTACCTATTTTAAGAAGCAAATAATTGGGTCAGGGATAGGGAACCCTGTTGAAGTGGTTTGGAAATACATTGTTATCCAGAACTTAACACCTTTAAGTGGACATCTTGAGAAAGAAAAAGATAAATGCATAGTATCAAGCATTTGAAGCACCTGGAAGTTGGAGCAGTGACTGGCAGGCATCAGTTTTTTCGGCAGCATTCCTCTTTCTGCAGGTTTCGCAAGACTTCCCTTTCCTTCACCCCAGTGAGACCAGTGTCCTGAATCGACTTTGCCGGCTCGGCACAGACTATATTCGCTTTACTGAGTTCATTGAACAGTACACCGGCCATGTGCAACAACAGGTGGGTCCTGTTCTCAGGGAGTGTACACCTATAGAGGGCAGGAGCTATATCAAGCTTTCCGTCAATTTATCAGTAATTCATGTGAAATAAGTTATGGATTTCTCATTACTGGAAATTTTCAAGTGAAGGCAAGATCTGTAGTTGGTTTGTTTGTATAACTCTTAAAAGAAACAAGCCTCATAATGTCTTTCTCGGGTTTCATGGCTTGAGCTGACAAGTAGGCTTCTGTTTGTTTGATTTCAGGATCACCATCCATCTCAGCAGGGCCAAGGTGGGTTACATGGAATCTACCTGAGGGCCTTCTGCACGGGACTGGATTCTGTTTTGCAGCCTTACCGCCAAGCACTACTTGATTTGGAACAAGAGGTAAGAAGGAGGAGATATAGGAAACACTTCTGGGACAATAGAGCGAGCATGTTCTTGAATCTGAAATGCCCTTTGGTAAGGTCAGATAGTTAAGAGTAAACATTTTCTTGCATGGCTGGAGGCTACAGTGATCTTTCTCTGATTGCCCAACCTGTGATCGGAGTGGCTCACAGATCATGACAGACTCTTTAGTGAGTTTATAAGAGCCCTGGCTTGGTTTCTTTATGGCCTGAAAATCAGGATTAATAACATGATTAAATTATCAATTCTCAATAGCCTAAAACTAACACTTAGCCCATTATCAGATTCTCTTCTCATTTTCGTAGATCAAATAGATTTGAAATACTTTGTGTGGAGCCCTAATCACAGCGGTTTTTTATTGCAGTTCCTGGGTGATCCCCATCTCTCCATATCACATGTCAACTACTCCCTAGACCAGGTATGCTGCCCAAATAACCAAATGCCTTGGAATCTGTTGATAGTGTCAGAATAATCTAATTTATGACACTGTTTTTGAGAACTTCTTTTCTTTTGGATTCAGAGCCCAACATTTTATATTTTGTGCGTTTTATGTGCTTTACTAGATCAAAACTGTTTCCAAATGTAGTTAAAACTTAATGTCTGATATTATATGCTAATGTTAATATTATATGCTAATGTTAATCCTCTATGTTGACATCAGTATTAACAAGCATCCCAGCCTCAGAAATAGAAACTGCTACCCGGCTGGGCATGGCAATGCCCACCTGTAATCCCAGCACTTTGGGAAGCTGAGGCAGTTGGATCACTTGAGGTCAGGAGTTTGAGACCAGGCTGGCCAACATGGCGAAACCCCATCTCTACTAAACATAGCCGGGTGTGGTGGCATGTGCCTGTAATCTCAGCTACTCAGGAGGCTGAGGCATGAGAATCGCCTGAACCTGGGGGTGGAGGTTGCAGTGAGCTGGGATCCCACCACTATACTCCAGTCTGGGTGACAGTTAGACTGTGTCTCAAAACAAAAACAAAAAAAAAAGAAAAGAAACTGCTTTTCTCTCCCATCCTCTTCCTATCTGCAGCGAACTTCGACATCAAATTGCCATAGGATACTGGATCTTGACTGTTGTGTGGTATTGCCATTTTCTCTTAAGTTCAACTATTTAGAAACAAAAGTATTTCCCGAGTTGATGTTTTCCCTCTTACATTTGATTACATCCCCTTTCTCTACTTTGCAGTTCCAGCTTCTTTTTCCCTCTGTGATGGTCGTAGTAGAACAAATTAAAAGTCAAAAGGTGAGAACTTTCCTTATTCCTTTTGCTCTGCTAAGCACTGAGGGAATATTACGAATTAATTTTGCCTTACATTCTTTTTCGAAGACCCTAGTTTTTAGTAGTTTTTATTCATGTATTCGTTTAACAATAACTGCTTGTGTATCATGGTAAGTGTCAGGAATGCAAAAATATGACACTGACCTTAAACACCTCCTGGTCCAGAAGGTAGAGGAAATGTTAATAGTTGTACCCAAGAATGTTGTTGGGGTAAGAAAAAAAGTGCTGTGGATGTTTGCAGGTGAGAGGAACCTGCAGTAAGGGTTTGGAACTGTTGGGTGTGGATCTTGCTGAGAGGCAGCAAGGTAATTCTTAGTAAGAAGGTAATATGGTTGGTGTGCTGGCAGTTTTCTGAGAATTATGAAATCAGTGAGTGAAAGCCAGATGTTTATTAAATATGTCTATTCTTATCACAAGTTTTTATCTGGTGTATTGAGAAGTTAGGGCCTCCAATGTCAGGAGAATGTCTTTCTGGGCAGAGTTAATTCTGAGGAATAATTGCTTTGAGATTTCATATTAGAAGACGAATCAGCTGTCCTAGGGAATTGGTCCACAGTTGGACCCAAGTGGACAAATGGATTAAACATCTTTAGCTCAGGTCTTCATTTTTTAAGCTCCTTATTTGTGCCTAGCTTATTAGGGGTGTTCATTTTGATTAACTGGTTTACTAGTTATATTAATCTGCCATATTGCTGTATCATTTTTTACTGTTTAAGTGTAGAAACAAGTGCTCTGCTACATTTATGCTGTGCCAGTAAGGCCAGTAGTGGGTGCTCATTGGCCCTTCAAAGCTGATTGCCCTGATCAAATAACAACATTCGGCTTTTACTATGTACTTACTGTGTACTAGACACTGTGCCAAGTGCTTCAAATACATTATCACACGCAATCCTCTAAAGGGCTAAGTAGGTTAAGGGGTGTGCTCAGAGTCAAACAGATAGTAGTAGATGGGTTTATATCCCAGCTCTATCTGGCTCCAAAGAGTGTGCTGTTAACCACTAGATTAAACTATCTCCCAAAATAAAAGAGGATCTTCTAGGCAAGTAGAGTTAGCAAGGACAGCATAAGGAAGCCAGGCCTAGCTGCATGTCTCAGTTGGCCCTCAGCTTCCACTGGCTACAAGAAGGAGAGTGGAAAATAGGGGGATTGCAGATGGATGAATCTTCCTGCCAGGATGGTGTAGAGAAACTAGTATACCAAGGCTCTACAGAGTTTTTAAAAATTGAGCGGTCAAGAGTCTAGGCTGAGGGTAAGAATGGAGATTGATTGCAAACAGGTACAAAGGGGCATTGTGGAGTAATGGGAATGTTATAAAACTGGGTTGTGGTAATGGTTGCACAGTGTTTGAAATTTACAAAAAATTATTGATTAGTATGCTTAAAACGGGTGAATTTTGTGGTAAATTATACCTCAAAGTGGTAAAAATAAAAGCCTGAAGAACATAGAGGCAGAAGATTTTTGAAAAAGTATATACCTTAGAAGTAGCTGCATTGGGCCTTACCTTGAATTAAAGAGCTTTCCTTGGCTTTGGTGTTACAACTCTTAAATGATTCTGGCTTCTTTAAGAGTGCTGGTTCTCACACTTTACTGTGCATTACAATCACCTGGAGGGCTTGTGGAAACACTTGAGTGCTGGGCTCTAACCAAGAGTTTGCATAGCTAATAAGTCCCCAGGTGATACTGCTACTGATGGGAGAGGTCCCTCTTTGAGAACCCCTATGTGTAAATCTTAGGAGAAAGTTTATCCCCAATCTCTTCTAGATTGGGCCCTCTTGGTTGAATATGGAATATGGATTTGTCTTGCATGGACTATTAGAAAGGAATCCAGTCTGACAAGGCTGTATATTCCACAGATTCATGGTTGTCAAATCCTGGAAACAGTCTACAAACACAGCTGTGGGGGGTTGCCTCCTGTTCGAAGTGCTCTGGAAAAGTAAGTCATGGCTTAACTGGGAATTGGTGGTGGAGGTGGGTGGTCAAATTATTTGACTTCTCACTTGTTTTATTTTCAGGTCATTTCAGGTTTCCCTCTTGGGAAGGTTATGACCAGGAAAGAAAAAGCCCCATGAGCAGAGGAGCCTATGTAACTCTTATGATGGCTCAGGCATTGCAATAAGGGCTATAGAGTGTTGAGTGTCAAAGCCAGGATTTAGCTGCCTGGATGACCTTGAGGCAATCTTTTTAAATGTTTAGACCCTGTTATCCTTGCAGAAATTCCATTACATGTGCCAGATGTTGCTTGCTATGTCTAAACGTGTATTTGAGTAGCTGGTATTTTCGAATATAAGGTCCTTAAAAATGTTCATGCTTTACAGTCCCATAATGCCACTTGTAGAAATTTTATCCTAACAAAATTATTTAATAGAAGAAAATAACTATATGCGCAAACATGTTGATTGCACTGTTGTCTACTAATCAGAAAATTATAAAATAACCAACACTAGAAGAAAATTTAAATGAAGATATATTCACTTGCTAGACTATAAAGCCATTAAAAGTGTAGGTACTATAACATGTAAAATATTTTATATAAATATGTACTGACAATTGATACAAAACTGTATTTGTCTTGTGATTAAACTGTATAAAAATATATGTAGACTATGATCAAAGACTGCATGTTTGATCTTTCCATTTCTCCATTTTCCTTATTTTAAAAAAGTGACATTCATTGAAAAATTTATAATAGATAGTCCATGAGGCCACTCACAACTCTTTTTGTTTCTTTCTTTTCTTTAATTTTAATTTTTTGTAGAGATGAGGTCTGGCTATGTTGCCCAGGCTGGTCTTGAACTTCTGGGTTCAAGCAATCCTCCCACCTTGGCCTCCCAATGTGATAGGATTGCAGGTGTGAGCCACTGCACCTGGCCAGGCCACTTAATCTGCACTCTTACCACTGCATGAATGAAGTCTCATTAAAGTGGGAAACTTTTCAGAACATGCCTTAGGGACTTAATTCTCTATTATACTTTTAGGTATATAATATCAAATCTTATGTAGATGATGTTATATATACATATTTGTTCTGTGTTTGCAGGGATCAGACTTTACAGACCACATACTCAGAAATGCATAAACGTAAATAGCTTCACATTTGATCTTTTTAAAGAGAGATTGGCATACTACAAATAACAAGCTCTAGCTCTTGTAATTTCTTTTTCTCCCCAACTTTTTATTTTGAAAAATTTTGAACCTACAAAAAAGTTGAAAGAATTGTGTAATAAAACACTTGTAGTCCGGGCTTGGTGGCTCACACTTATAATCCCAGCACTTTGGGAGGCAGAGGCAGGGGGATCACTTGAGCCCAGGAGTTCAAGTCCAGCCTGGGCAACATAGCAAGATTCTGTCTATACTAAAAATAAATTAGCCAGGTGTGGTGCCTGCCTGTAGTCCCAGCTATGGGAAGCTGAGGTAGAAGGATTGCTTTAGGCCAGGAGGTTGATGCTGCAGTGAGCTGAGATCTTGCCACTGTACTCCAGCCTGGATGACAGAACGAGACCCTGTCTC